CCAACCGGAGGAAGCAGTTCCTGCTGGACACTGCTGACATGGCTCTCACCGAGTGAGTGGGGAACTGGGCACAGAACTCTGGAATTCTTGGACTTGGGGACAGTGGGAGACTCCAGAGACAGCCCTTCATGACAGTCCTGCCACCCGTGAGGGGGTTGGGGGCTGGTTTGGTGCCACTGGCTGAACCCAGCTGACAGCTGGAAATGCTTCAGGCGTGGATAAAACCAAAATATCTTCCCTGGATCAAGAGTTACTCCATCCCTCAGTCTGAGCTTTGGGACTCTGGGCAATGCAGACCCCATGTCACTTGGCGTGAGTAGGGATGAGCTCCAAGGCATGTCCCAGGTCTCTGTGTGCTGGCAGCTCAGGGAGGTGACCATCAAGCCATACTGGGATCTGTGCTGGGATGAGTGACCACCTCTGGGTGTCACCTGTCTCCTTTCTGGAGTTCAGACTTTGCAGCCTCCCATCACCTTTGGTCTGTAGGTTGATTTTGCAACTCTTTGGTCTGGAAGACCAGAGACTTACGGTTAAGGGGAGCCCTTGGGCACCAGGTGTCTGAGGGAGATGAGGGGCTGTTTGCCCCAGCCTTGTCAGAGATCTTTGCCTCCATCTCAGGTTCTTCCTGGTCTCCTTGAAGTCAGCCATGATCAAAGGGTGCCGGGAGCCCCCTTATCCCAGTATCCTCACGGATGCCACCATGGAGAAACTGGCACTTGCCAAGTTTGTGGCACAGGAGTCCAAGTGTGAGGTGAGTTTGGATATCACCACCAGCCCTGCAAGTGATGAAGGCTCACAGGAGACTCCCTTGACTTCTCCTGGTTCTTCCAGGCCTGCAGCGTGGTTGTGCGTTTCTACGGCCTCGTCCACTGGGAGGACCCCATGGATGAGGCACTGGGGCCCTCCAGCAGCAGCTGCTCCTCTGCAGAACACGCTGTCACCAAGGATGGCGTCCTGCACTACAAGGCAGGCACCTCCTACCTGGGCAAGGAGCAGTGGAAGCCCTGCTTTGTGGTGCTCAGGTGGGCACTGGGGCTGTGGGGCAGGGCTTGGATCAGACAGGGCTCTTGGGAGAAGGTGCTGGGAGCAGTTTGCTGCCCAAGAGCTGCCTGGGAGGTAGAGAGGACTCATCTTGCCACCTAAAGGAGCCAAGCCACCGGTTTGGTGGCTCAAGCCACAGTTCGTGGGTGCCCAGCAGCAGGAATGTGACCCCACAGGGCTGCAGGGGTGGAGGGCAGGGGCAGGGTTGGCTGTGGGACCAAAGGCAGGGGATACCAGAGCTGTGCTGACTCCAGTTCCCTCCTCTCTCATCTTCCCAAACAACAGCAATGGGATCTTGTACCAGTACCCCGATCGCACGGACGTCACCCCTCTGCTCTCCATCAACATGGGGTGAGTGGCTGGTAGGACACAGAACCCCAACTCCATGGGGATCTGGGGAGCAGGAGCTACTTGGGATGTCCAGGAGGGGTTCCAGGCTGGATCATGGCCTGGTCCATGCAGCAGGAATCCCTCAGGAATCCTGGCTGCTCCTGCCTGGGGGCAGGTGCCCATGTGTTTTGGCTCCGGTGCATGCCACCTCATTTCCTTCCTTGGAAGGGGCCTTGGCCTCTGAAGGGTGATGCATCCCTCCAAGAGCCCTGCTGGGAGACCCACTGTGCTCAGCTCCAGCTCTCCTGCAATGTGAAGAGCCTGGAGATGGTCCTTGGAGCAATCCCAGGGAATGTCACGGATGGGGAACGAGTGTTTGTTGGGACAGGGGTGAGGTGCTGCCCAGGGAGGGCAGTCAGAGGCTGTTCTCAGGCTCGTGCTGGCCCATCCATCCCGCTCATGTCCATCCTCCCCCTCTCTCCCAGCGGCGAGCAGTGCGGGGGATGCCGGCGTTCCAACACCACCGACCGGCCCCACTCCTTCCAGGTGATCCTGACGGACCGGCCCTCCCTGGAGCTGAGCGCCGACAACGAGGAGGACATGGCAGACTGGATGCAGTACTTCTGCCAGGCTGTCTCCAAAGGGGTGAGCTGGGGACAGGCCCTGGGCGTGGGTGCTTTGCCCAGGGAAAGGGAGCAGGAATGTCTGTCAGGATGGAGCAGGCAGCTTTATCCTGAGCCAGGAGGGTTTCCCCACAGGGCACCCCATGGAGATGGAGCTCCACCGTGCCAGGTTTTATCCCTTTCCCCACCCCACGCAGGTGATCCCCCAGGGCGTTGCCCCGACGCCGTGCGTTCCCTGCTGCTTGGTGCTGACAGATGAGAAGGCTTTCACGTGCCACGAGGACTGCCAGACCAGCTTCTTCCGCTCGCTGGGCACCGCGGAGCTGACCGATGTCACCGCTGTGTCCACGGAGGCTGGCAAGGAGTACTGCATCCTGGTGAGGGCAGGGCTCTGGGACCCGCTGGCCCGGGGCTGGGCGAGCACCTGGTGCTGACCCCAGGCCTCTCTCTCGCTGTTCAGGAGTTTGCTCAGGACAGCAAGGAGTTCCTGGCCCCCTGGGTCCTTTATTTTAGTTGCACTACAGAACTGGAGAGGTTCCTGTCAGCACTGAACGTCGCGTGGAGGAACATCTACCAGGTGAGCATGTGGGGCTGCCTCACACTCTCGTCACTGAGGGAGAGCAGAGGGATGAATTTGTCCCTGGAGGGTGAACCCAGATTTCCCACAAAGGGCAGGAGAGCCAGGGAGCTCCTATGGCTCCATATAATCACAGGATGTGGGATTTAGAGGCTGGCAAGACAAGCCATGAGCACCCAGTACTGCCAAGGGGAATGGAAGGAATGTGGGTCAGCCCCGCTGTCACCATGTCCATGACATGGACAGCCTGCCCATGTGGGTTTGAGGTGGTTTTACAGCAAGAGGGAGAAGTGACTGTTGTCTGTTCCCCTCCTGCCACCCCACACCCGTGTTTCAGGTCGATCTCCAACACAAGGCCATTCTGGATGCTGCTGTGAAGAAGAAATGTGAGGATGCCCAGAGCCTCATCAACAGCGCCTGGCAGCGCAGCGACAGCCTCTGCCGGGGCCGGGCCGAGCGGGACCCCTGGTGTTAACCCTGCCCAGGGGGGGACAGCTCACAGGGCCCAGTTTTGGGGACCAGGGCCTGTATCTGGGCTGCTGGCACCCCAAACCCTCCTGCCATCGCTTGGTCCCCACCAGGGCTGTGCCTGCAGCATGGACCCCGCGCTCTCCACTGAGCCAGGGACATCCGGCATGGTCTGGGGAGCAGCCAGATGCTTCACCACCTGCACCTTCCTCCTTGTCCAGCTGCCACGGGGCAAATAATTTGCCTTTCACAGAATAATGTCCCAGTAGTAGTGAGGGAGAGGGTGGGAGCGGGGTGGGCTGGGACGAGCATCCCGTTCTGGTGGGGAGCACGACTGAGGACTTGTTCATTTTCGAACAGGGTCAGGGCGAGGTGGGAACGCTCAGTCGCTACCGTGCATGTTTTGTTGCTCATACAATCACCGCTGTGTTGGGAGGAGGAGTCGGCACCGCCCCGCCTCCTCCTCCTCCTGGAGGGCTCGCCCGGGGCCTCCGGACTCCGCTGAACCACTCAGCCTGTCATGGAGATTTGAGGCTGAGGAAGAAGGAACAAGGCCAAATATTTGGCTTAAACATGATTTTAGGAAATCTCAGCAGCCGGTTTGTGGTTTTAATGCTGAGCCTGTGCACTGGGGGAGAAGAGATGGAGTCCCATGTTCTTCAGGTGTCCTGAGGGACATTGTCATGTGGCTGCCACCAAACACGTCCCCATCTCCTCAGCTCACTGCATCTGAGGCCAGCGAGGACCCATCGCCACTTGCGCTCCACTATGAGCACTTTGGGGCACAACCCCAGCTTTTAAATAATATTAATAACAATAATAATAACCCGGAGACCTTCTCATGTAATATAAGTTCACGGGGCCTTTTTCTGGAGGAAACATACATGACTGAATGTATATGTACATACATTTGCTTCCTTTCCCCCCTCCTCAAATAAATAGACCTTGGTAACTCAGCCTTGGCCCTGCTGCTCCTCCTGCCTCCTGCCGTCACTTTGGAGCCTGTGGGACGGCTCTGGGCAGGCAGAAGGAAGATTTGGATGAAAAGAGGGGAGGACGTGCACCTCGAGCTCCTCAACAGTGTTTACTCTGCGGTGGGACGCGTTTGTGACTTCAACTGGGAACTGCCCATCAGGACACAGAGTCTTCATGCTTTGTCCTTGCTTATCCCTGGATCCAGAAGATCTAGTCCAATCTAGAAGAGAAGGAGAAAGAAACAGCCATGGGGCCAGCCCCCAGCATCACCCACTGTCCCCGTAAACCCTCCTTGACTTCTGACACCGAAACGAAAGTGTTGGGGGATACCGGGACAGCCGCTGGCAGGGGAGGGGGCTGGGATACGGGGGGGTTCGCACCTCTTGCCCCTCAGTAACCACCGCAGTGCCTCGGCCATGGGGGTACCAGGGGGTCCCTGCGCAGCCCAAAATTAGGAATCCACGGCGGGGGGCGGGACACCGACATCCCCACCCCCCGCAGCGTTTTTCCGCGGGAAGCTCCAATTTCAAAGCCCCGGGAGAGGCGGGTGAGACCCTCTGCAAGTCCCCCCCGCGCCGCGGCCACAAGCGCAGCGAGTTTTCCAGTCCTCATCCTCCTCCCCAGGCTGGCTGGGGCGGGGGTGTGACTGCGTGCGCCCCCAAAATTCCTCTCCCTCCGTTTCTATTTCAATGTTACCGCCCTTTTTTTTGCCTGCTTTTCCCTATTTGCGCCGGGGCAGCACCATCACGTGAGACCGGGCCCGGCTGGACGCGGCTGCCGGGGGCGCGCCGGTGTCGGGGGGGGCCGGACACGCACCCCCAGCCCGACCTTTGCCCCACATCCCTTCCCCAAATTGGGGGCTGGATTGGGGGGGGGGGTTGGTTTGCAGGAGGCGGCGCTCGCTCGCTCTCGCTCCCCCTGGATTTTTTTCCCTGCGGTTGTTCGGGGAGGTGGAGCCTGGGGCCACCCCCGCGGGCAGGTGCCGGATGGCGGCGGGGACCCTCGCCCCCCGCCCTCCCGATTCCCTGCAGGAATTCCAGTACCCCCCCCAAAACAGCCCCCCCCCGGCCGGGGGGGTGCCCCCGGCCACCGACCTGGTGCTGGGGGCCACGGCCGGCTGCCTGGCCTGCTTCCTCACCAACCCGCTGGAGGTGGTGAAGACGCGGCTGCAGCTGCAGGGCGAGCTGCAGCCCCCGGGCACGTACCCCCGGCCCTACCGCGGGGTGCTGCGGGCGGCCGTGGCCGTGTGCCGGGCGGACGGGCTGCGGGGGCTGCAGAAGGGGCTGGCGGCCGGGCTGCTCTACCAGGGGCTCATGAACGGCGTCCGCTTCTACTGCTATTCCCACGCCGAGGACGCCGGCTGGACCGGGTATCCCGGCGGGACCGTGGCCGCCGGGGCCGTGGCCGGGGCGGTGGGAGCCATCGTGGGCAGCCCCGCGTACCTGGTGAGTGCTGCTCCGTCCCAAAGGCCGTGGGGTGTGGAGGGGGGTGTTTTGGGGACCTCCCCAAAACGTTCGGCATCTTGGCTGCATCCTATAAACACTGGCTTGGTGCATTCTCTCTTCTCCCGTTTCGCTTCATCCCCCCCCCACCCCAAAATGTGGGGTTGCGCTGTGCATGCTCTCCCCCTGCTTTGTCCCCCAAATCCCCCTCAGGAAACCAGCAGATAACTCCCTCATAAGGAAATGACCCCAGAAGAAATTGTGGGGGTCCCCCCCCCCCCCCCCATTTTAGAGGGTTTACGCAGTTTTTTGGGGCTGCAGAGCTCCAGCAGTGGGTGTTTGGAGGGTCCCTTTGCCCTGGGAGAGAGGGGTAAAAGGAACGGGATTCAAAGTCTGGAGTTACCACTTGGCTACTCAGCTGTGTCCCCCACGTCTGTCTGAGGGGCTGAAACTTCCCCTCAAAATCTGCCAAGAAAATGAGGGGACCACAGCCGGTCCCAGAGGGGCCATTGGAGGGGTTTGTCACCTGGCATTGTCCCCCCCAAGGTCAAGACCCACCTCCAAGCCCAGACACTGTCGGCCATGGCCGTGGGCCACCAGCACAACCATGAGGTGAGTGGGGACAGGGTTGGGGTGGGGGGACACAGAGGGTTCGGTGGCACCTTGTCCGTGCACGCTCCGGGCCCCAGCGGGGACCGTGCTATTTTGGTCAGCAGGAATTTAAAGCTGTTGTTTGGCTGCTTGGCCCCGTAATGATGCTAAAAATAACAGTGCGAGAACAGAGGGGGTGTGACAGGCACGTGGGGCTGCGATACCGAATCCGGAGAACCCAGACCCCCTGAGATCTCTCCAAAGCCCAATAGTGGCTCCACGTGGGGTGGGATATTTTGCCAGGTGGGATGCACCATTCCCATTTTTCCCGTTTTCCCCAATTTCCTCTCTTCCCCAGAGCATCTCCGGCGCTTTCAAGAGCATCTACCAGCAGCACGGGGTGGTGGGGCTGTGGCGGGGCGTGACGGGCGCCGTGCCCCGCGTGGCCGTGGGCTCGGCCGTGCAGCTCGCCACCTTCGCCTCGGCCAAGGACTGGGTCTGCGAGCGCCAGGTGAGCGGGACGTGTGCGGATCCGGCCGCCAGCGGCCCCCCGTGCTCCCTCTCATTGTTGGGAAGAGCTGATGCCGGCGCTTCCCGCAGTGGTTCAGGAAGGGCAGCTGGGCGGCGGTGCTGGCGGGGGGCATGGTGAGTGGTGTGGCTGTGGCTGTGACAATGACACCTTTTGACGTGATCAGCACGCGTCTCTACAACCAGCCGGTGGACGCCGACGGCACGGTAAGGCCATCCCGGATACGGCACGGGGCACACGCGGCTTTTCCCATCCGGCAGGGGGGCAGAGCTGGCTCCTCTCTCCCCAGGGCAAGCTCTACCGAGGTTTTTTGGATTGTATCCTGCAAATCTCCAGCAAAGAGGGGCTGCTGGGCTTGTACAAGGGCATCGGCGCCGTCTACCTCCGCCTCGGGCCCCACACTGTCCTCAGCCTCTTCTTTTGGGACAAGCTCAGGAACATGGTTCAGCACTAGCAGCCCCCAGGGCTGTAGGACAGACTCCTGCCACCACCACCGATGTTAATAAAGAGGTTTTTCTATTTTTGGTGTTGTCTTGGGGTCTTTGGGGTGGTACAGATGGGGGAGGCTAGGACTGAAATGCTGCGATGCCTCAGGGTGGAGAGGAGAATGGCAGTGCCGGCATGAGGGGAGGTTACAGGTGCTGGTTGTCCCTGACCCCCTCCATGTGCATCACATCCCTCTTCTCCTAATTTTCACCTCCACGGGGCAGCTGGAGCTCATCCCGTCTGGCCGGAGCTCCAGCTGCCCTGGCTTGCCCCAGTAATGATTTACCAGCCGGGGGGAGCCACTCCCCGCCTCCACCCCGCGGACCTTGGAGCCGGGGCCTGGCTCTGCTGTGGCTCCTCTCCATAGAAAATGTTTTCCCTGGGGTCCTGGCTCCCAGCGCTGCCCGGGCTGGCGTGGGGCTGGGCGCTGCTGGATGCGCTCCTGCAAGGTGAGATCCCCGAGCGTGGCCTGGGGACAGCCCAGGGGACACCAGTGACCCACTGCTGCCTTTCCCCGCAGGGCTGGTGGGTGCCTGCGCCGTCTCGGTGCTCTGCAGCCTCCTGAAGGTTTATCTCTACATCCAGTGTGCAAAGTAAGCGCCAGCCCTTTGTCCCCTCTGGGGGGGAAGGTTGTTTTTGGGGATCTGATTTTGGGATCTGCTGTTGGGCCGTGGCTCTTGGCACTGAGGGGTGCAGGGCAGGGACTGCAGCCTCTGCTGCACAGCACAGAGGGGGATGTCACTAAGGCTTGTCACCCCATTTTGGTGTATGGGGCCCATGTGGGGTGTCCTGGGTGTCTGTAGGGGGTATATGGTACATTCTGGGGGTGAACAGGGGTATGTGGGGTGTCCTGGGGGTCTGTAGGGGGTGTGTGTATATATCCTGGGTGTACACAGAGGGTACTGGGGTGTACATGGCATGTCCTGGGGGTACCTGGGTGCTCTGGGTCTGTATCGGGGGTACATGGGATGTACTAGGGCTGTACATATACACGAAGCTGCCGCATGCTTGGTGTCCCCGTGCTGGGGCTGCGGGGGTCCCAGTGTCCCCCCTGCTGTCCCCAGTAACCCCGAGAGGCAGGCGGAGAAGGAGGCGATGGCGGCGCGGCGGCCGCTGCTGGAGCCGCTGCAGGTGCTGGTGCTGACGGCTGTCCTGGCCCTGGTGGGCTCCCGTGTGGCTGCCCTGGTGGTGCTGGAGTTCTCCCTGCGCGCCGTCTCCACCATCCTCTCCCTCAAGGTGAGACAGCATGGGGGAAACTGAGGCACCGTGGGGTACGGTGTGGATGGAGCTGGAAACTGGGGGCTGGTTCAGCACCCACAGGGGGTGGAGGGGCTGTGGGTGCAGGGGGCCATGGGTCCCTCTGCACCTCAGCCGGGTGTCCCCAGGTGGGCAAGAGGCCCCTGGCTGGTTCCCCAGGGCAGTGCCTGTCCCCTGTGCTGGCACTGCTGGGACACCTCCAGTTCTGGGACCTCCATGGCGAGGACACTGAGGGGCTGGAGCGTATCCAGAGATGGAAACAGAGCTGGGAAAAGGGGCTGGAGCACCAGGAGGGGCTGAGGAGCTGAGAAAAGGGCTCAGCCTGGAGAAAAGGAGGCTCAGGGGGCCCTTTTGGCTCTGCACAACTCCCCGACATGAGGGGACAGCTGAGGGCGTCGGGCTCTGCTCCCAAGAAACAGGGACAGGAGGAGAGGGAACAGCTTCAGGCTGAGCCAGGGCAGGTTTAGATTGGGAAAAATCCTTCATGGGAAGGGTGCTCAGGCACTGGCAGAGGCTACCTAGGGCAGTGCTGGAGTCATGGCCCGGGAAGGGTTCAACAAGTGTTTGGATGAGGCACTTGGGACACGATTAGAGGTGAACTCGGCAGTGCTGGGGGAACGGTTGGGCTCGTTATCTTGGAGGTCTTTTGCAGCCTCACCCATTCCACGATTCCATGACCCCCCTCTCTGCTCTGCAGGGCGCCCACAGCAGCCAGCTCTACCTGCTGTGCCAGTACTCTCTGGGTTGCGGGGTGTCCTGCGGCCTCAGCTTCCTGCTGGAGGGGGCTCCGCACCGCAGCTGGAACCTGGCGCTGGCGGCGGGGCTGGCGGGGCTGCTGGCGCTGCACGCCCGGCGCCTGGCCCGCCACGTCTGCGCCCTGTACGAGCTGCACAGCCGGCAGCGCTACTGCGGCGTCTGCATCCTGCTGCTGGCCGCGGGGCACGGCATCCCGCGCCTGCTGCGCAACGCCCTGGCCGTCACCTTCGCCGTGGCCGACCTGGCCGCCGTGGAGCTCATCAACCGCGATTTCCTCTCCACGGGCGAGGCCGTGCGCTTCTGGACCCCGCTGAGCATCTGCTACACCCTGCTGGTCGTCTACATGCAGGGTGGGTGGGGATGCCCCAGCTCGGGGGGCTCTGGGGGGCGTGTGGGGTGTGTTGGGGGTGCAATGGGGGGTGTGTGGGATGTACTCAGGGTGTGTGGGGCTACTCGGGGCCACCTGGGGCTGTATAGGGGCAGATGGGGGGGTCCTGGGGCTGTATGCAGAGTATATGGGGTGTGCAGGGGTGTCCTGAGGCTGTACAGGTGGTATATGTGGTACATTCTGGGGGTGTATAGGGGTATGTGGGGTGTCCTGGGGGGTCTGTAAGGGGTGTATGGTACATTCTGGGGGTGTATAGGGGTATGTGGGGTGTTCTGGGGGTCTGTAGGGGGTATATGGTACATTCTGGGGGTGTATATGGGCCATATGGGTTGTCCTGGGGGTCTGTAAGGGGGTATATGGTACATTCTGGAGATATAGGGGGTGTCCAGGGGGTCTGTAGGGGGTGTGTATGTATATCCCAGTTGTACACAGAGGGTACTGGGGTGTACAGAGGGTACGTGGGATGCCCTGGGGGTACCTGAGGTGCTTGTGGGTCTGTATAGGGGGTACATGGGGTGTATAGGGGCTACATGGGCTATACGTGAAGCCACCGCATGCTTGGTGTCCCCGTGCTGGGGCTGCGGGGGTCCCAGTGTCCCCCAATGCTGTGTCCTCGCAGAGGAGTCCCGGCAGAGCACCGGCAGGGGGGCGGCGTTCCGGACCGTGATGATGCGGATGGGCGGCCTCTTCATCCTCCTCCTCACCGTGGGCCGATGGACCGACATCCTGCACGTCTTCGTGTCGCTGCTGGGGGAGCTCTGGTGCCTGCTGCACTCCGGGGTGCTGCTGGAGTCCTGCTGCAGGCAGGTGAGAGGGGGACAGCCCCGTGCCACGCGGGGTGAGGCTGGGGGCAGCCCCAGGGCCACCCTGAGAGGCCTTTGGGCTCCTCTCTCCCGTCCCGCACAGGATTTTGCCCAGCAGCCTCGCCTGGATCGCCTGGCAGGATCCGGATCGGGGGAGACGTCTCGATGAGCCGCGGGGTGGAACCGGACAGCAGAAACTCAGGGTGGCGTCGCTGGGCACCCCAGAATCCCCCACCACAGATCCCCCATGGGGACTAAGGAAAAAAGGGCTCCTGGAAGGTGTCCAACCCCAAAAAGGGCTCCTGGACAGTGTCCAACCCCATCCCGTGGGATGGAGGAGGTCGGGGGGAAGGCTCGCGTTGCCCCTGGTTTTTGGGGGGACTCTGCGAGGTTGCAGCACTGCTGGGGTTTGTCCTCTGGTCCCAGTGGGATTGCAGGCTGCTGATGGATGTCCCGTCGTTGCTGGCAGCTGGGCCACACTGTCAGGGGCCTCCAGGGGTTATAAATCTCAGAAAATAAAGGTGGTTTTTTTTCCAGCAAAATCCATGGGCAGAGCAAGCTGGGGTCCCATTGTGCTGGAAAGGCACTTGGGATGGTGGCAGTGTGCAGACTTATGAGGGAGGTGGGTAGAATTCCTCCTTGGGAAGGGAAACTGAGGCACGGAGTGGGGTGACCCTCTGGCTGTGCCTCAGTTTCCTCCTGCCTGCAGCCCGCTGTGCTGTGCCAGGGGACAACAGGCCCTGTGAAGGTGGGGTGCACTTTGGGGAGGGGGGTTCTGGCTGCCTGGGCACGGACCCTCAATGCAGGGGGGAGCAGGAGGGGTCTGGGGGTGTTCGGAGCACTGAGGGCTCTATAGGGGTTTATGGGGCATGCTGGGGCTCCAGGGGGGCACATGGGTGTCCTGGGGGTGCACAGAAGAAGTATGGGGCATTTTGGGCATGGAGCTGAATGGGGGTGACTGGGGCTGTATTGGAGGAGAGGGGTTATCCTGGGGGTATATGGGGATATTTCAGCTGTATTGGGGTACACAGGCACCCCGGGGGTGTATGGGGGGCTCACGGGGCACACCTTGGGGTTGGGTGCCCTGAGGGTGTGGGGGGCTCTCGGGGGCTCCATGGGAAAACCTGGGAGGGGGCAATCCCAGAGCATATGGAGCACCCATGAAGCGCTTTGGGGAGCGCGGGGCCGTCGGGGGGTGAATGGGGCACCCTAAGGACATGCCCCCCTCTTCCTCCGCCCGGGGCTGTGGGGCAGGCAGGGGGGAGGAGGAAGAGAGGTGGAAGAGGAGGAGGAGGAGGGAGGAAGGGGCGGTGATGCCGGGCGGCTCTGCCTTCCCGCTGCCCCCGCCGCGCCCGCGGAGCGCACGGAGGGACCCGCAGCGGCTCCCCAGGTAGGGGACAGGGACGGGGACAGGGTCACCCCCCGAGAGGCTGCAGGGCCACCTCCGGGCAGGCGACACCGCTCCCCCCCGGCAGAGAACCTCGCCCGCAAGGTACGAACCCCCCAGGTAGGGGACAGGAGCCACCCTCAGGTAGGGACCGCCCCAGGTGTGGGATTGGGATCCCTCCCCCAGGAGGGGACAGGGGACACCCCAATATGGGACACAGGATCCCCCATGTGATGGGATAAGGACCGCACTCATCCTGGGATGAGACAGGGGGGCCAAGAGCCACCCCCAAGGAGGGGACTGGGGACTCTCACAGGGAGGGGATGGGGGCTCCCAGACAGGGGACACGGTGGGGCCGCCGCTCCACAGGGGACAGGGCACTGCCAGGCAGGGCACAGGGAGCTGTGGGGCTGCACGGTGGGACACAGGGGATGCCGGGGGGGGCTGCAAGGCCACCCCCAGGTGAGGGACAAGAGGACAGTGGGACCACTCGGGGTGGGACACCAAGCGTTGTGTACCCCCATCCCATCCCTTTTTCCTTGGGCATCCTCAGAGCACCCTCTGAGAGGTCCCTGGGGTAGGGGACAGAGTTGAGGTGCAGCTCTAGAGGGCTGTATCCCATCCCAGTTTTGGGGCTTGTGGGGATACCCCATAAGTGGCCCTGTTCCCTCAATCCCACCTGAGTTTCCACCCTAGGAGATTTCAGGGAAACCAGGGAGGTTCCCTTCCAGTGTGGCCTCTGCCACCCCAAACCAGGATGGAGCTGCATGGGGAAGGGGGACCCCCATTAATGCCCCCCTCGAACCTCGGCCACCCCGATGGCCCTGGGCCGGGGGGCTCTGGGCTCTGGGGGTGCCACCACGGGGCCGCCGGGATCCCGTCAGCCCCGGCACAAAGAGGAATGCGATGAGCACATGGTTCCCATTAACCCCGGAGAATATTTTTTTTTTCTTTTTTAGGTTGTTTTTTTCTTCTTCTTTTTTTTTTTTTTTTTTATGGTTGTTCTTTTCTTTTCCCCCCAGTTTTCCGCAGCTCTGCTGGGGAGGAGGAAAAGCGGTGGCTGCGGCGGGTGAGGAGCTGGGCAAGGCCGGTAGCGCCGGTAGCCGGCGGGGAGGGAGGGAAAGAGGGAGCCAAGTGCTCCGGGTTCTTTTTCCTCTTTAATCCCTTCCCTGCTTGAGTCAGAGGCTGAAGTCACCGGCAGGAACATCGCGAAGCTTTTCGCCCACCTCGGGGAGTCTGTCTGCCCCACAAAGAATGTGCTGACCCCCGTGAATGGGATTTTGGGGGAGCAGAGCCGCATGAGACCGGGAACTCATCACACAGGTATTTTTCAAGCTGCTGATTCACCTCAGGGATGAATTCTGCTTCACCAACACAGCACCCTGACTAAAGCCTCAGGGTTCCTCCCCACAATCTACTCCATTTGGGAAGGGGAAGCTTCGCCCCAGCTGCTTTTCCCCTTGGGAAGTTGGATAAACAGCTCTTTTCCTTCCTGAGCAGGGTTTCTCGGGGTCGGGTGCATCCTGCCTGGGCTGCCGGGTGCTGCTCAGGGGACATGTCAGTGTCAGGGACGTGGTAATTCACAGCACCACGCCTCAGTTTTCCCACCTGGAAAAATGAAAGGGGGGATGTGCAGAGCTGGATTGATTGGCAGGGAATTGGGGGTAAGGAGAGAGGGAGCGGGGATGTAGAAAGATTTCAATAAAGGGGTTGCAAAAGCAAAATCCTATAGCAGCTCTGTGTTTTAAAAGGAAAGGTGGGTACTTCCTGCTGCTCATGGGGAATTTAGTCCCAGGTGGGTGGGAGCAATAAGAGGAAATACAGGGGATGCAAATACTTATGAAAAGGTGGGATTTGGCCACAGAGGTGTGAAAATGGACGCTATCAGCTGCTGCCTCGCCAGGACTCTGTACCCTGTGTCCTCCCAGGCATGAGACCATTTATTGCTGTGACGTGGGAGGGGACACTGGTTCCTTCTCCCTTTCCGGGAGGAGGGAGCGAGTTGATGCTGAAGGGCAGCACGGCTGCAGGAGCTGCCAGTGTGCCTGCGAGTTTTACTCTCTTTCTTTCTTATTTTCCCTAGAATCAGCCCCTCATCCGGCCCTTCCATGGCTTCAGCGATGTTGCCAGGGAAAGCAGAGAAAAGAATCGCTTCATCCATCTTCATCACCCTCGTGCCACCACAGAGGGACGTGGCCACCAAGGAGAAAACCCAGCGGGAGCCACAGCCAGGGGGTGCCGGGGTCCCTGGCACCCACCAGCCCCAGATCCTGCTGTCATCCCCCCAGTTACCCAGCGGAGGTGAGGGGCATCCATGGGGGGCTGGAGCGGTGTGGAAGGATGGTGATGGGGCTGAGGAGGCTGTGGAGATGCTTTGCTGAAGGTTGTGCATGCGGAAGGGGATGTGGGGGTATTTTATGGGGGGCTATTCCCACATCCTTGCACACATCCCAGCACGGATCCGGCTCCTGGGGACGGGCTCTGTTTGCTCTCCATTGCTGGGTGCTTATCGGTGCTGTTTGTCCCCTCCTGCTTCGATGGCGTTTGCTTTTGGGGCAGGTCAGCGAGCGCTGCTGCGAAGCTGTTGGGGTGTTATTGTGACAGGGCGTTATTGTGATGGGCTGTTACTGGACATTATTGATCCCCTAAACCCCCACATCTGTCTGTTGCTGCAGAAACCCACACGGTGGCCCCTGTACCTGCATCCCCACCAGTCCTGCCCCTCTCTGAAGTGCCCCAGCCTTTGTCCATGGAGCCGCTGAGTCTGGCACTGCAGCAACTGGACCTTGCAGCACCCACCACCCTCCAGGTGAGGATAACAGAGTGCAGTCCCCCCAGTGCCTCAGTTTCCCCACCTGCAGGGTATAACTAACGTGGCTTTTCCCTTCCCCGCTTGCCAGGCCCCTTCTACCTTCCCTGCTGAATTGGAGCCACCCACATTTTCCCAGGAGCAAGCAGGCAAGCGGCAGTGGCAGGATGTGAATGGGGACCCGGGGAGGGACAGCTCCAGAGGTAAGGGAGACCCAGCTGTGCATGGGCTCATCCCCACTTAGGGAAACTGAGGCACACAGCTCCCAGCCGCTCTCCCTGCTTCTTGCAGACATCTGTGCCTTCTGCCACAAAGCGCTGGGGCCCCGGGAGCCGACGGTGGAGGCGATGCGGAAGCAGTACCACCCTGCCTGCTTCACCTGCCGCACGTGCCGCCGGCTCCTGGCTGGGCAGCGCTACTTCCAGAGAGACGGGTGCCCCACGTGTGACACCTGCTTCCAGGTACCCATCCTCCTTCAGGGAAAACCGGCACCCTCGGAACATCCCTCGGGGCGTGGGCTGCTGTCTCACGGCATGTGTTCCCTAAATTCCAGGCCACGCTGGAGAAATGTGCCAAGTGCCAGGGGCTGATCACGGAGCACATTGTCCGTGCCCTGGGCAAGGGTTTCCACCCCAGCTGCTTCTCCTGCGCTGCCTGTGGCCGGGCTATCGGCACTGAGAGCTTTGCTGTGGATGAGCAGGGTGATGTGTATTGCGTGCCCGACTACTACAGGTTGGCCATGGGGGAGGGTGTCCCGCACTGGGAGCTGGCTTTGGCTCGTCCCCGTCACCCCACAGGGCTCACGCCACCCCTTGGCTCCCATCAGGAAATACGCTGCGGTGTGCAGCGCCTGCGAGCGCCCCATTGTCCCCCATGAGGATGAGGACACCTACAAGATCGAGTGCCTGGGACGCAGCTTCCACGAGAGCTGTTACCGCTGTGAGGTACGGCCCTGGGGAATGGGGGGCCCCCAAGGCCAAGGGGGTGGCACTGAACTTAGCTGAGCAGGGACACAGGGATGGCAGCACCCACAGCTGGTTTTTAGCCCCCAGTTTATCTTACAGGTAATGGGGAAGGGGGAAAATAAATAAATTGGGTGATGGTGGTGATGATGATTATGTGTTTGGAGAACTTCTTCAGCTTTCCATGCTTTTGATGTAGTTTGTCACTTTTTTGGAGTGCTGGTAGGTTTTGCAGGGAAAAGAGGATGTAACACACACAGAGACCCCTAAAAGGTGGCTTCCTTTTCCCCTCTTGCCCCCAGAGCTGCAGGATGCCCCTGTCGCCAGAGCTGACAGAGAACGGGTGCTACCCCCTGGACGACCACCTCCTCTGCAAGAACTGCCACATCCACTGGCGCAACGAGTCGTCCTGCTGAGACCCTGCAGCTCATCAACCCCTTCCAGTGCCAGGCACCAAAACGGGGGTGCCCCCAGTGGGAAGCACCCCATGGCTGACCCTGGGTGCCTGCTGCACCCCCAAGTTACTGCAGAACTTGGTTTTCATCACCAAAATGTCCCCAGGACCCTGACCCAGTGGGTTGGCAGGGTGTAGAATTGTGGATATGTCCCAGCACAACTCTGTGCTCATGATAAATATAAAATGCCCTGACAGAGCAGCAATGAGGAATGGAGGGTTTATTCCTTATTTCTTTTTTTAAACTCCTTTTTCCAAAGGCCAGTTTGGTTTTCTTGGGTAGTTTTTCTTTCTTCTCAAGCTTCCTTGGGGTTTCACTGAAATGTTTCTCTCTGTGGAGAACGGGCACTGATTTAGTTACTCGCAGTTAAATAAAACCCCAAGTTTAAAAACTCTCATTCCTTTCATCCACCCTGCATTCCAAACCTATCAAATCCAAGTCTAAAAATAAGGAAAAAAAGCCAGTTTTGGATTTTCTAGGCGTGGTGAGAGTTAGTCCATAACTAAGGTCTATAAAAGTTGATTTTAGGGTGTAGCGATGTGGGAGATGCTGCTGTCACCCGGGAGAGAGCCGAGTGTTGTTTTTTGGGAGTGGATATGGGATCTGGCGATGTTTTGTGGTGTTGATAAAAGGAGTTTTGGTGTGGTTTGGGGTTTTTTTTGCTGACTATCTATCCCGGAGCCGGCAGAGGGCAGCCGGAGCACAGATTCCTCCATCAGGCAGGAAAACTCCAGCTAAAAGCATCCCGCAGGGCCGGGACGCTGGGAAAGACGGACAGCCCCCTTTCTGCATATTATCCAAGATTATATCGCTCTGCCAGTGGAAGCTTTTTGATCTCCTCTCAGTCCAGGCCTCAAACCAGCAGAAATTAGACCATTTCTCTGCGTGCCCAACATCTGCACAACCGATGTTGCCGGTGCTTAGTGGTTTTGTTTGCGAGGGCGTTGCAAACCAGGCGGAGAAACTTTTAAACTTTCTTTTTAACCGAAAGTGTTTAAAAAGCCACAAATCAAGAGCAGAAAATAGCATGTGAGATGATGTTTAATGCTTTCCTGATGGAAAATGGGAGCTGTAAACAAAGAAAGCAACCACCAGACCAGCAGCTCCTGGATCACATACAGCATCTCCGGCGCGTGCTGCGTTTATGAGTGAAGGGGTTAATGATGGTTAATTAATCGCATCAATAACTATTTCCTGATGACTCTTCCCTGTCTACAAAGCTGATTACTCAGTGTTTGTTAATGAGCATCTCCAGGCCATCAATCAGGTGACAATTTGTTTTAAAGGTATTTATAAATAAGTTGTGGTTTGTCCTGGTCACGTAAGTTGGTGGCTTTGGGTCTGGCTGGGTGGGAACTCCTTGTCCCATGCCAAGGAATTCCTGTGCTCTAAGTCAGCTCTCACTTTCCAAAGCTTCTTGCACTGTGAGGAAAATCTGGCATCAAAACGATGCTAAAAAAGTAAAAGGATGTGGCAGTGGCCAAAGGGAGCAGGAAAAAGAAGGCCCGGAGGGCAAAGAGCTGCTTGCTTTTTGTAATACAGATATTTTTCCACTCAAGGTTTTTTGGGAGGATGGAAGTGCAATGCTGAGTGGTGTTTTGGATGTGTTATTCCAAGTTGCACTACCCTTCCACAGAGGAATGGTGGGAAGGAGTTGGGTATTTCCCCCTTGGAACCTTCCAGGATGGGCTGTTGGCACTGGGACTGCAGAATTTTTGGCTGGAGACAGGCAGGGAAATGCTTTTATTTACAGGCAGCCTTGGAGAAGGTCCTGGAAAGCAAGGAGAAAGGAAAGGCACCGCTGGAGAGTTTGGCAGCATGGTGAAGGGATGTGTTGTGGTCAGATTTGACATTATATTTCAGGAGTGGAGGGTGACAAGGGACAGGGATACATGGACACAGGTAAGAGGACAAAAAGGTTGATTTGAGGCATCTTCTTCCCAGATAAAGGGAGAAGCGCTACGAGCTGAGGCGTGGGGAGCATTGTGCCTGAAAAGCACAGCCCCGTGTTTTCCCTTGGGAGGAGCTCGAGGAATTCTGAGCCGCATGCAGGAGATCCTGCAGGAGCTGGATCCTGTCCCGCTGCCGAGCAAAGCCAGATCGGCTGCAGGGGCTCAGCCTGTCCTTGGGCTCCTCACCCCGTGACAAACACTTCTGCAAGCGCCCAGGTCTGCAGAAATAAACCAACCGTACATCCTGCCTTGAACAGGAACATTTTGGGGGGCTGGGCCCACCTTGGACCACCCAGGTGTAAACCCCACTCCAAGTCCCTCCTCTTGTCCCTGTGGCAGTGGCAAAGGGCAGAAAGGATGGCAGCGTTCCGGATGGCTCCAGCCCTTCCCTTGGCTGCTGCAATCAGCTCTTGCAATCCCTCTTGGCAGGCTGAGGAGAGCGGGAAGGACCTGGCTGCCTTCCAAGGAGCAGCAAATGCAAATATTTCCTCACTTCAGGCTGGGTGCGGCCCGCGGATAAAATTTCCTTGGGCTTTCCCAGCGAAGGCATCTGATCTCTCCTTCTGCTGCGAGGCCAACTTGCTCCCAGGAATGCAACCGTGTGTCCCATAAAAAAAGCCTAAAGGTTATCTTTTTACAACTCAAAGGACTGCCTGGTTTTTAAAAAGAGGTTTTAAATTGAAGGAGGAGCTGCCAGGCACAGCTTGTAGTGGTTTTGAATCAGTAGTTAAAGTGTTGCTTCATGGGAAAAAAACCCAACCTTTTTGCAGGTTTCTTTGGAAAATGGAAGATTTGTAGTGTGGTGCAAGGATAGTGGGATGATAAAGGGGCTGGAAAAGGTGCTGAGAGCAAGACTGGGTGCTGGAGATGGTTTTTCTCAAATAAGATAGAAAGAGCTGCAGGAAAACTGGGGTGTTTTTTCCTTTGGATCCCAGGTTAATGGCAGTGCCATCCCAGCCAGCTCCCTGCAGCGTTGTTCTTCCCCACAGAGCATTCAGACCTATTTTCTACACATGCCTTTGACACAGCCTAAAAAAAATTATATTTCTTAAATGAAAAGTGGTCTGATCCTGCTGATTCTGGGAGAGGCAAAAACCAGCAGGGATTATACAAGGAACAGCCCAAGCGTGGATTTCTTCAGGTCATGCAGCACAGGTGAGATATGTATTAAATAAAATAAAAAAAAAAAGAAAGAAAAAAAAAAGCTGTATGCTAATATTCTCATTTATCCCCAGTTTTCCTGGCAAAACTGAACCACCCACTGCCACAACGTAGTTTTAAAACATTGATTTTGACAGCATGAGGGGAAAGGGATGAGGCAAGTGCGCAAGTGCGTTACCAGGCTGTGAGTGCTATACTGGCTTCTTTATAAAATAAAGGACAAAAAGCCCAACCCACCCTATTTCTATGAACAGACACAGAGCACACACTTGCAAGCAGGATTTTGCTATTTCATATCCCAGATTTTCTTCATCGTATCAGTGATTACAGCATCCTGCAGCCCTATTTCCTGAAAATTACCAATTTTCACCCAGATTTGGCTTTGAGTGGTTTGAGTTATATCTTTATTTTGATGAAATGTCCAGTAAAGCAGTGTGAGTGAGTGTTTTATTGAAAAAAAAACATGGATCTTTTTCGAAGAGGTTATATCCCCTTTGTCAAGGCGGATTATTGAGGTCAGGGATTTATCACTGGGGGAAAAATGTGGAGAAGGAAGGGGAATAAATATGTGTATAATAATATAGACATTAATTCTCCGTGCTGCTAAACTTTTCCTCACAGCCAAGCTGGGGAATATGCTTTAATCTCATTTATTGGATTGCTTCATCTGATTATGTTGTTTTTTTATTTTATTGTTTGCTTGTTTTTTTGCTGAAGCAATGGGGCTCTAGGCGGGGAGTTAAGCACGAAGTGTTTCGTGAGGAAAAAGAGAAAACCCTGAAGAAAAAAAAAAGATAAAATTAGGAGGGAAAAGAGGGTTTGGGGTGACAAAAGGCGGCGCCGGCCGGGGCTGCCCCTCACGGCCCCTCAGGCGCTGCCCCCCCGTGCTCGCTTCACAAAATGGCCGCCCGGCGGGGCCGCGGGAGCGGCTCTGAGGCGACAAAATGGCGGCGGGCGGAGAGCGGGGGGAAGGACGGGCGAGGAGCGGTGTGGGCACAGCGGAGGGCTCTGATCCTGTGGGAATCCCCTCCGGGCGGGCGGCGAAAGCGCTGCGGGTGAAACCTGACCTTCTTCTTATCCCCCCTCCCTCCTGCCCTTTTCTCCTCGCCGCATTTGCGAAAGGATGTGAAAGTGGCCAGAAATGCGCATTTTTATTCGGCCATGGCGGAGCCCCCGGGTTCTCCCCTCACCTCAGCTCGCCCCCGCGCCCCCAATTATAACCCTAAAATGTTATTTTTTTTCTCTCACAGCTGAGCGGTTTTGGCCCTGTATTGCGCTTTCCACGTGCCCCCCCACCCCTCCCTTCATCATCACCACACACACCCCCAAGGTGGGTAGTTTTATGCCTAATTCTTCGCTTTTCCACCACTTTTCTCCTTCACAGGGATTGAAGCCGCCATCTCCCGGTCTCCTCACGGCATGGAAAATCCCCAAAAGTGCTTAAGGAAAAAAAAAAACAACCAAACACCAAAAAAAAAGTCCCAAACGCATGAGGATTGATTTATCATCGCAGCCGGAGTGGTATGGAAAGAAGCCATCGCTGCTCGCCTGCTCCCCACGACAGCTCGCCTGCCATTCGCTTAATTAAAATCATATATTGGTGTGATCAGACGTGGTAATACCATTAAAAAACCCCAAATCCCGTAACATCCACACGCTCGTTGTTGGAGGCTGTAGCCAAGGTACCATACTTTTTTTTTTTTTGCCTTTTTTTTTTTGTTTGTTTGGTTTGGGGTTTTTTTGTTGTTTTAAATATTCTTTTAATGTTGCCTTACCCTTTTGTCCTGCATCAGAGTGTTGTTACAGGCTATAACATTACCTCTTAATTCTTAAAAGCTACGTACCTAAAAATACTGCTTTTTTCCATAGAATTGCAGATTTAGGCCCCTACAGATGCTCTTTTATTTCTACAGATACAGACATACTTGTATATATTTATTAAATATAAATATATAAATACTGCTATATATTTAATATTTTTATATACATATGACCTTTTCCCAGGGACTATTGAAAATATAAAATAAGCCCACACACCTAAAAACTATAATTTAATTATATATAATCACTATAACTTTGGCCCAATATATCTTTGATTTTATATATATATATATTACCTTTGTTTTCCTCCATTGGTTTCCTACTACAATGTGTCCTAAAAGCAGGAGAAAAAATGCCATCAAAGATAAAAATAAAAAAGGAAAAAAATAACAAAAACCAACCCATCTCTTTTTTTACAGTCCATGATGGAAGTTTATGCCTGAATGTT